CAGAGCCATATTTCTCCAGTGTGCTTCTTGGAACTCTGTTTTTTTGTTTTTGTTTTTTTTTTTTTTTTGGTGCAAGGGTGGGAGTAGGGGTTGGGGGGCAGAGTACAGGGTATAGGTTCTCACTACCTATCTCAGACTCGCAGTGATTTCCTGTCTCAGCCTCCTGCCACCACACCTGGTTTCAGTGGCCAGCACAATGAATCCAGGGTTCTGGGGTTGGCATACAATACTGGGGATCAAATCCAGGTCCTTGTGCTTGCCAGGCAGGCACTTAGACTGCTAAGCTATCTCCCTAGCTCCTTCTTGGAAATCTTGTACCACAATTGCATAAGGCCAATACAAAAAGTATCTAGAAGAGGGCCGGCCAGATAGCTCAGTGGATTTAAGTGCAAATCCAAACAACAAAAAAGAACTGATAGGGCTAGGGAGATAGCTCTGTGGAGTGCTTGCCTGGTAAGCACAAGGTCCTAAGTTCAATCCCTGGTACCACAAAAAAAAAAAAAAAAAGAACTGGAGCCAGGGACATAGCTCAGTGGCATAAGTGCCAGCCTGGCAAACACGAGGTCTTGAGTTCAATTCCTAGTACCACACACACAAAAAAGAACAAACATTCTTAACTTTCCTTGATTGGTCATTATTTGGGAGAGTAGACATAGACACACACAGACCTTTAAGACTTCTTTTAGCTTAAGCTTATTTTTAGACAGGATCTTGCTATGTAGCTAGATTGGCCTTAAACTTACTAGGTAGCCAAGGCTGGCCTTGAACTCATGACTGTCCTCCTGCCTCAGCCTCTTGAGTGCTGGGATTGTAGCATGTTCCACTTAGCTTGAGTTTTCTGAGGGTAAGATCCTAAGGAGGATCTAAGGCACTTCTGAGACTGGGAGAGTACATCCACATCATGTGGATACAGATATGTTTCCATCATCTTCTCAAGATACCATAGAGAAACCAAAAGTACTTAACCCAACTGTGTGACCTGGGTCAATTCTCTTCTTGGGTCTGCGTCATCATCTTTATCTGTAAATTGAGAAGGCTGGAACAGCCTTAGGAGCTTTCCCAGCTCTGTCATGTTCACAGCAGGCCACTGATTGCTGGCATTCTCTTGGCATTCTGGTGTTGTGTGTGGGGCCACCATTTGAAGAAAGCCTGGGCTTTATGATGGTGTCTTTAACCAGCTCTACACTTATTCCCCTTTGGTGCTGTGTGCCTCTCATCCTATCTTTCTCTGACCACTAGTGACAATTAGAATAGTTAACAGATAATAGCAGGCACTGGGCTGGATAGTCGTTATCTCTTTGTTCTTCAGTCTAGTGAATTATGGGTACTGTCATCTCCATTTGTAGGGTAAGATTTAGCCTTAGAGGGGTAAGGGTTCTGCAGACTTCAGTGCTCCAAGCAGACACACTCTAGCCTAAGCAAGCTCTTCCATTCTATGTGACTTTACCTTTTGTTTCTACTGCCAGAATATTTTTGTTTCTACTGTTCTTCCCTCCATACACCTCATCTGCTCATTGGCCAAATGGCAGCTCAAATTCTGCCTGTCTGCGATTTCTCCAACTATAACTTGTTTTTTACCAACCATAACTGCTTTCATTTCTAAGTTGACTTTCCCTTCCTCTTGCTTCCCTGATGATTTTTTTCTGCATTCTGTCTTGTGTTATATAAAGGTGGGAGTTCCTAATTACCATGAGGACCTGGATTGCTGGGACCATCACCTGCAACTCCTTAGCCCCAATAGTCTTTACACATAGTATCTAGGGTACATTATGACCAGAGCCATTGTCTTAGTTACTTTTCTCTTGTTCTTGAGGCAAAATACCTGACATCCAGAATTAAGGAAAAAAAGGTTTATTTAGCTCACATAGTTTGTGGAGGTTTCAGTCCATACTGGGCTGGCTCCAAGACAGAGTGGCACATGGCAAAGGGCAAAAGTTCATGGTAGTGGACAACAGCAAAAGCAGCAAGAGCAAAAAAAGAGAGAAGCAGTGGAGAGCAAGTCGCTTTCCCTTTTTAATGCAAGCCACCTGCCCCAGGGTAGGTAGGTATAGCACTCCCACCCATAATCCCAGCATTGGACCATGAATCAATCAAAAACTCTAGAATGGGGCTGGTGAGATGGCTCAGTGGTCTAAAGCACCTACTTAGGACAAGCTAAGCAAAACACAGGGACCACGGTTCAATCCCCCAGCACCACATGCCAGCCAGCCCCGCCCCCCTGGTGGGCTGAGCTGGCCACACACACAAAATGAATGAATAAATAAATAAATTAAAAAAAAAAAAAAACTCTAGAAGGCCACCCCATAATGGCATAAAGCTTTAGGGGGACAGCTAGACACAGACCATAACAGCCATGAAGCTCTTCCAGCCAAATGGAAAGCTGTAGAGCAACTACTCACACCTGTAGTCTCCACTAGGACTACTCAACCTATAGGAAAATGAGTCTAGAATTCTCCTCTGTCATCTTCATTCATGCAGTACACTTTATTGTTAAGAGACCTTAGCAAACCATTTCTCTGAAGCATTCCTCCAGCCTCAGCCTTCCCAGTGCTGAGATTACAGGAGTGTGCTACCATGCTTAGCATGTAGGTCATTCTTTAAAAGATGCAGACAATCAAGGCTAAGTGGGACAAATCCATGAAAATAAGATATAACACTTGGTGAAATACAGTAACATGTAGGACAGTGATGACAAACCTTTTAGAGCTTTCAGTGATCTAAACAGCCCCACTGCAAGTCTCAAACCATAGATTTGCCAGTCCTGCCATAGAACTTAGCTGCTCACTTCCAGAATAAGTTTGGCAGAAGAAGCTGTCATGCAAAGGCTCTCAGACTGACTGGCAGCAACCAGGGCTGAACAGCCAGGTTCTGGTTCTGCTCCAAAGGGATTTCCCCCTTCTCTGCCTGGCACATCCTCTCTTACTGCCTGGGATCTCATAGTGAAGCAATTGAGTATTGCACACATACAGGACACCCCCAGTGCCAATGAGAAAAAGCATAGTCTCTGCCCTCTAGGAGTTTATGGTTTATCTGGAGACACACAAAGTCTGAGAGTATGACTGCAACCTGGCCTCAGAGCTGGTTCCAAGCACCCTGCCAGGGCCATCATGGGGGTGTGTGCTGGGGGTTGAACCAAGGGCTTTTGCCCTGAATTATGTCTCTAGCCTTTTTTTTTTTTTCCTACCCCTTTCTCTTTTTAATAAATACAGAGTTCCTGAACTTCATATCTAGGCTGGCTTTGAATGCATACCAACACTCCTGCCTCAACCTCCCAAATGCTGAGATTACAGGCATGTGCCACCATACCCAGCTCTCAACCCTTTTTTTGTAGGGTTTTTTGTTGTGGGTTTGGAGGTCTTTTTGAGATAGAGTTTTGATTTGTAGTTCGGGCTGGCCTTTCAGTCACTTTGTAGCCTAGCTTGCCTTTGAACTTGCAGTGTTCCTCCCTCAGCCTGTTTGTTTTTTGGGGGGTTTTTTTGGTTTTGGATTTTTTTTTTTTTTTTAGGGAAGGGTCTACAAGGTGTTCAGGGTCTCACTACTAGCTCAGACTTGTAGTGATCCACTGTTTACAGCCTCCCAAGAGCTGGGATTACAGGCTGTCACCACCATGCCCAGTCTCAATTGCCCTCTCATCATGCCCCAGGGACGGGGCTGGCACCGAAGGCCAGGGGATAGAACCCCTGGCCCCTGGCTCTAATCCTCTGAGCTAATTGGCTGGCCTCCTTGTTTTTTGTAAATTGTGAGACAGGATCTTATTAAGTCTCTCAGGATGGGCTCAAATTTATGTCCCTCTTCCTTAACCTTCCAGAGTGGTGATTACATGTGGTTACATGTGTACACTGCCATACCCAACAAGGGCTTTGGTTTTTTTTATTTATTTATTTATTTATTTATTTATTTATTTATTTTGGCGGAACCGGGAATTGAAATCAGGCCTTTGCGCTTGCCAGGGAAGCGTTTATTCCACTGAGCCATCTCCCCAGCCCATTTTTTAAATGTTTTTGAGACAGGGTCTCACTATAAAGTTCAGGCTGGCCTTGAGCTCACTTTGTAGCCCAGGCTGGCCTCAAACTCACAACAGTCTTCCTGCCTCAGCCTCCTGAATGCTGGGATTATAGGTGTGTGCCAACACACCTGGCAAGGGCTTCTTTTCTGATAGAAAAATTAGACTGTGGACACTTAACACCAGTTCTAGACAGACACATTAAATGATTTTAGAGAACGCTAGGGAGATAGCTCAGTGGCATAAGTGCCTGCCTGGCAAGCACAAGGTCCTAAGTTTGATTCCCAGTAATAAATAAATAAATAAATAAATAAATAGTGTAAGAGACCTGAACTTGTTTTTTAGTGTGTTCATGAGAGGGCCCTTTGCTCAAAGAGTGAAGCCTATATCCATGCAAGACATAAGTTGCAGCTGAAACCTGAAAATTTAGGGAGTTGGAAGGATAGTACCCTCAGAGTAACTAGGGAAACCACAAGAAGTAATCTGATGAATAGTGCCCCAGACAGGAATAGGACCTTCCTTGCAGCAGATAGACAGTAACAACATATAAAATTGCTGTTTCTAAGAGCCTGCTAATATGCTAGAGAGGATTTTGCATATATTATCTCTAATCCTTAAAACCACTCTTGAAGGTAGTACAACCCCCACTTTACAAATGAAGAAATGAGGTTAGGAGAGGATTTGTCGAAAGCCATGTAGCTAGTTGGTAGGAAAATCAGAACTCAGACCCACATTACCTGCTTCTCTTCCAAATATAAGGTAAAAAACTGTAAAGGATCCAGATGCTTCTGCATAAAACAAGCCAAGATGAACCCCCAACTGCCACTGCCACATGTACAATGTGGGCACCATCCAGTGCTCATGTACTCCCAAACCTTAGCAAAACTGGTACAAACTCTCCTTTACTGGCCCACCCTGTGCCCCACTTCTACCTCATCCATCCAGTCCTACCCACACCTAAAAAGATCTCCCTACCCCAAACCCCACTTTTCTCTAGCAGAAGGCCAGAGACATGTATGCAGAGGAACGGAAGAGGCACCAGCTGGAGAGGGACCAGGCTGCAGTGACAGAACAGCTGCTGCAAGAGGGGCTCCAGGCCAGTGGGGACGCCCAACTCCGACGGACACGCTTGCACAAACTCTCAGCCAGACGGGAAGAGCGAGTCCAAGGCTTCCTGCAGGCCCTGGAACTCAAGCGGGCTGACTGGCTAGCACGTCTGGGCACTGCATCAGCCTGAGTGAGGCTGGCCACCTGCCACTTTGCCCTGCCCTCTGCCTCTAGGGACCTACTCCCCTTTCTTTTGTTGATGAAAGACATGTCCCTCTAAATGATGAATTAGGCTCTCTTTGCTTGGCAGGGGAGTCCCGAAGGTCAGCTCTGCTGGCCTTAAATACCTTTGGGCTAACTGTGGCCCTTGGGCAGGATTGAGGGTGAGAATTCCCACAAGCACACAAAATCCAACTCTGCTCACCAATTTTTTTTTTTGGGGGGGGCACAAAACATTGGCTTCCTGCCCCATCTGCCTTTGCCATCTCTGCTTGTGCCCCTAGATGCACTTTCTTTTTCCACTAGCACATCCTTCAACATTGCAAGGAAGAAGGCTCCTCAAAACCTGCTTCACCCATCGTCTTCCACCTGACTTTCACAAAGACCTGGCACTACCTTGACTCTGCTGGTAAATAGCTAATAGGCAGCCAGTGTTGTTTGGGCAAGGAAGAAAGGGGTGGGAGAGGCGAAAAGAAAATTTGTCCATCTGCTGCTCCTCCTCTTGGCTCTCCACCTGGGATTTGCTATTGAATCTCTTTCCCTCCCACTACGCAGTACTGATTGCTCACTGAAAGGCTCAGTGCCCCCAATGGCGCACAGAAGCCAGGCGGGTGATTACAATCCAATTACCTATTGTCGACTCAGCCCACACAAGCTTTTCCCTGCCTCTTGCAGGGCATGGGGCCAGGTTCCACTACCCAGTAAGACCAGCCCCCTCTAATGCTACAGGGTAACAGAAGGGCCTGTAGATCCTGGTGGTGTAGTGGAACACAGGCCTCTCCATGTAACACAACAGGACTGTGGAACCAAGCACTTCTCCCAAGTGACTGCCTCTGGCCCTCACCACCTCAAACACTTCCAGTCTTCAAGGCTTCTCAGCGCTCTGACGAGCTCCCTATGCAAGCCCTGAGACAGTTTAGTCTCAGCATGGCAAAACTTGTTCCAGGCCCTCTCTGCTTGTGAGGGCCAAGGCTCCCCAGCAGGAAGGTGAGGCAGAGTCAAGGCTGTGCCCTTTCCCTTACCTCCCCCTGCCAGGCATCCATGCAGAGCTGCTGAGAGGATTAATGCCTTTGAAGCGCTATCTGCCTGAGCAGTTCTACTTCAGGTCCCCTATGGCAGCAAGGACCAGTCAGTAACGCCAACCAAATGCTACTCTTTGGTCTTAGTTTACTTGCTGCAAGCTGCCCAGCAACTGCCTCAGAGAGAGGTGGGACCTTGGCAAGCAGTATTGAGTATATTCCTCAGACTTGTAACTTTTTCTATGCCCTAGTATCCTCCCTTTCTGTGCTTGGATACCTGGCACTAGAAACCCTTTGGCCATTATTCCTGCTCTTGGAATCAAGCACAAATGCCAGTTGCTGTGATTGCAAAGCCAATCAGCACACCCTTTGGCAAGGCCCCCTACACACCTGGCACTCCCCACTACCAATCCCTGGCACTGGGTTCCCGGAGAGCAGGTGCTGTACATTTTCCAGCTTTACAATGGGGCTGTTGACAGCCTTAATTAGGGAGGCATGAATTATTCGGCTATAATGCAGAGCCCTACAATTAAGGCGGGAATGAGGGGCTGAAGGCAGCAAACGGAATGTGCCCTGTGAGGAAGGCTGTTGGGTCTTCTGTCTGCAACTCCCTGGTGATCAGGACAGTAGAGATGATTAATGGGACTAGCATCTCTGGGCTGAGGTCCTGTGTGCTGGGAAAGGTGTTCTGGGTGGAGTAGGAGGAGCTGCCCCTGGAGGCACTGCAGGGAGTGGAAAGAAGAGGTAGAAGGTCCAGCATTGCCCACAAGCAAGATCTGAAAGATACTTGCTGTGAACTCATGGCAGTTTAGTGTTTTGAGTCAAACAAGCAGCTTCTACATTTGCCTCATGAAGTCAGGGAAAAATACTTGTCCTCCCACCTGTAAGCCAAACCCCCTCGATAGTTATCCAGTTCGTGTGCTCCCTTTGGTCTCAAATAGAATTTTTTAAAATTATTAGATGTAAGATTTGTTTGCTAATTGCAATGGAACAATACTTATTTAGCTGCTGCAACTGCTTACCTTGTCTCAGTGCACTTGGTTAGCTCCAGGACCCCATGGGCTTGGGGTGGGAGACACTGTAAGAGCCCTTTTGCTGTCACACCTGTTCCTCTACCAGTTTCCTAATCCCGGGGCGCTTTCTTCCACCCTCATTTTCCTCGCGCAAGAAAAAGGAAGCCAGCTTGACAGTGAAAGCAGGGATTTCGCCAGCTGCGGTGTCCGCAGCGCCTCAGCTTGGTGGCCGTGTTGGGTGGGGGCAGCTGGGCTGGATGTATAAAGACCTGTAGTGCTAGGGGGAGGGGAGTAGTCAGCGGCTTCTTGGAGGCCCCTCTCCATCATTTTGTGACAGGGTCCTGAGGTGCAGGCATGCAGAGACCTGAAGGAGCCCCCAACACGCGTTGGGGGGCTTCATTAGCCTTTGGGGAGGACTGTACAATGGGTGCTGAAAGGACAGCTCCTACCTGCCCCGCAGTACCCAAAAGGCACCTCTGTGCTTGAAGTCTCCCTGGCAAGCCCCCACCCCACCTCGAGCAGACCGCCATACAGGTGAGACGCACGAAGGGCTTCCCCCGAGTGGCAGCTTGGAAGGATGCACGTCCAGCTGCGCCAAGCTGGCCTCTTCGCTCTTTTCCCACTCGAACGTCAGCCTTGGCCCCGGGCGCTGCAGCCTGTGCCTCGAGCGACGTGCTCCTCCCTCCAGCAGAGCGGCGCGGCCAGGCCTCCCAAATCCTTCTGGGGCCCCCAGCGGGAGCGGGAAGGAAAACCGCCGAGATGCGCCCTGAGTGTCGCACGGCTTGGAGAAGTGGGTAGCTCGGTTGCATAAGGTGGAAGGAACTTAGTTTGCAAAACCTAGCTCTCAGCGGGAGCGAAACCCAGAGCCCGCCGACTCGCGCACCCCTCCTCATTTATTGCCTCTGACGCGCCGCCCCCACGGCGCCCCCACCCCCTCGGCGCGCCGCCGTCTCGCGCGCCCTCCCCCAACTCCCCTCCTCACTCCCTCCAGAGGAGGTGAGTTTAAACCCCGCCCACGTGACCCCAGCTGGGCCAATGAGCGGCGGCGGGAGGTGAAATCCGGTTCTAACCGGTCCGGGGCTCCCAGCGCTATAAAAACTTTATAAACCCCCCGGAGCCCGAGCAGTGTGAAGAAGAAGCGAGGACGACCCCCGGGCCGCCCAAAGCTGCGCGCCGCTGCATCTCGTGTCTAGCGCCTGTGACCTGCCGCCGTCGCCACCATGCCCAAGAGAAAGGTACGTGGCGCGAGGGCCGCAGGCAGCGGGCCGCCGCTGCTCCGTCACTGCCGCCACTGCCTCCCAGCTCGGGGCGCGAGAGACAGCGCGGGCCGAGAGGGAAAGCCTCTAGCTCGGGGCTCGAGGCGGGGTCGGCGGCCTGAGGCTAACCCTACGCGGCGCGGCTGCCCGCGGGCGCCAGAGGCCATATTGGAGGAGCGGCGGCCGCGGCGGGAGGAGCCATGTTGGTGGCTGTTTATCCCGCTCCCCTCGGGCTCGTCGCTCCCGCCCTGTGCCCCCTCCCCCACCGCCAGGCCCCCTCCCGCCCCTCCCGGCGGGCGGGCGATTCAAACCCGAAAGGGCGGGAAGGCGGCGGGCGGGGGAATGCGCTGCCGCCAAAAACCGCCGCCGCGAGGGGGCGGGGCCGGCGTGGCTCCGCCTCTGCCCGCCCACGTTCCCGGCGCTCGAGCCGCGCGCCGCCGCCGCCCACGAGTTCCCTGAGTCGCGCGCACCTCCCTCTCCCGCCCTCGACGGCTGCCATGGCAACGGCGCTCCGACTCCGCCTCCAGAGGGTTTGTTTGCACCAGCTGCAGCTGTTGCTCCTGCCTGGCGCGGTGGCGCGGCCGGTCTCCAGCTTAGCGCGCGCAGGCCGAGCCCTCTACACGCTCCTTCTGCGCAGAGAGCCAGCTTAGACTACTCGGGCACTTGGGTTCTTGCTAGAAGCTGGGCATACGTGTCCTACCGGAGCAGACGTTTGTCTTAAAACCTTAAGTTTAGGGACTAACCTGAAATTCTCTCCGAAGCTACAGTATTTTTTCCTTTATATTTTCCAGGCCGAAGGGGATGCTAAAGGTGATAAAGCCAAGGTGAAGGATGAAGTAAGTCTTACTCTGGAGAGGGTTGTACAGAGCTTGGACAGGACTCTCTGTTGGTGGGAATTAACTACAGCCCAAGCAAGGCCTGAGTTTCTCTTAAAGACACTGCCTTTGCTGCTTGTGTTTTAGAACAAAATTGGGACAAAACTTTTGCTTATTTTTCTAACTTTCTTGGTTTTTATTTTAATAGCCACAGAGAAGATCTGCAAGGTTGTCTGCTGTAAGTGTGTATGCTTTAAGTTTTTTAAATGTTCATCTTTACGGAAAGGCATTGGAAAATTTGGGTGGATTGCTTAGAGGATGTTTTGAACGTCTACTAGACCTCAGACTGTTGCACATGTGAAGTTAAGGGTTCTCAGATTCTGATGACTAGCCAAGACAGGACACTTACAAGTTACATTTCTTTTTTTTTTTTTTTTTTTATTTTTTTTTTATTTTTATTAGAGAGAGAGAGAGAGAGAGAGAGAGAGAGAGAGAG